TAAAAAATGAAAAATTAAAAAAATAGAAAAATGAAAAAGTTAGAAAGAAAAAGAAAAAAAATGGAGAAGAAAAAAAACCAAAGTGAAAACCTAAAAGGGTGCTTTAAAACGAATGAGGTAAAAACCTAGAGGAAATGCACAACATGGTGAACTTGAGTTTGAAGCAAAGTTTTGAAGAAATAAAGACTCTGCAGAGAGAAAGAATACGAGATCAACAAGAAAGTGGAGCTCACAATACTAAAATGACATCTTGCATCCATATTTAGGCATTTTCAAAATATGAGTATACACAATCATTCATTCCCATCAAACATTTGGATGTTTGACAGGAAATTGAAAGTCAACAAAGATTAAATTTCACAATTTCATGATGAAAGAAGATTCAACAAAGAATTAGTCTACATCTTCACTATTGAAAGAAGTGGATTTTAATAGTGAATTGAGGACTTTCGGGTAATTTAAAGTACATAGCAATGACATATGATAATATTTTACAAGTTTAAATCCATCATAGAAGAAGGTTAATTAGTGTTTCCAATTGACGAGTTTCATAATGAGAAGAACTTGTCCATAGAAGGAGAAAATGTTCATAACGAGAAGAACTTGTTCAACCTTGGCCCATCCATCACAAAAGGAGATGAATCATCATTTCCAATGAATGAGTTCATAATGAGATTAACTTGTCCAAAGAGGAAGAAGAAGTTCATAATAAGAAGAGATTGTTCAACTTTAGCTCATCCATCAGAGAAAGATGTATATCAGTATTTTCAATGGAGGAGTTCATAATGAGAAGAACTTATCCAGAGAAGGAGAAGAAGTTCATAATGAGAAGAACCTGCTCAATTTTGGCTCATCCATCACAGAATGAGGTGGATTCGTATTACCAATGGAAGGGTTCATAATGAGAAAAACTCAAACGATGAGAGCGAAAAATTCATAATATGAAGAACTTGCAGCTTAGGAATTTCAGTAGTTTAAACCATATAAAAATGGTGTTTTATATCTTTGCTATATTTCCTTTGCACATTAATGAGAAAATAGTGGCAACTGTAATAATTTTTTTAGTTTTTATTATTTAAACCCAAATAAATGGATAAAAATTATTCAAATAAAACCAAAATGTCGATATCCATATTAAATCCATTTATAAATGATTAAATCATTTACATAGGCCAATTTACAAACAAAGCCCAACAGTTACAATACCCAAACCCAAATCCATTAGCTAAGAGGCTCGGGGTAGAGCAGTTAGGGTTTTACCCTATTTCTTTATATATCCCTCTTTTACACTATTAGATTATATAGACATTGAATGGCCAAGATTTGTTTAGATTAAAAATTAGGGTTAATCTTGGTGTGTTCAATATCGCATGATAGACCACAGTTATATCTAAATATATCTAATGGTCCAAATAATTTAACACTAGGGTTCCTTGGAAACCATAGTAGAGAGTTCCCACTATCGTTACCACCTCATCTGTCTAGCCTACGTGAGAATGCCACCGCAGTAGTGGTCCCAAAACCACATGATAGCACCAACTTAACTATAAATCGGTCGATTAAAGCCCCTTTAGCAGCCATGTACCAAAAAAATAAGAAAAATAAAAAAATCAAGTTTTTCTTTGATTTTTACTAATGATCCTTGTAATCAGGTTTAAATATCCAAATATCAAAAAAATGTAAAGGATGAGACTCTTAAATGAAAACGCAAAAAGAAATACTAAAAAATCTTTGAGATGTATTTTGACTATGTTTTTTATCGTTTTCATTTTTTCTTGGGATATGTGGTCACTCAAAAAAATAGAGAGATGATGGAACTAGGTTTTACCTTAGTATTTAGAGCATCTTCATTCCAGTTCCTCATTGGATCTTGGGTCACCGGAGTCAATAAGTTATAAAGTCAGGTGGTTCCCAAGGTCTTAGATCTTTGTATATTATTTTGGGGTTTATTTTTGGAGTTTCAGTGTTTAGGTTTAGGTTTTTTAGATTTATAGTAGATATAGGACAAGGAGACAATGGTCTAAGTCATCGAAATTCTTGAAACCGAACAGTCAAAGTGATTTCTAGGGTCTTTAGGGGGTTCTTTAGGTAGTTTTGGCCTCCAATTTGAGCTTGAGTCGAGTAATCGAGGTATTTGAGAGGTATTTGAGCTTGGGTCGGAGATACAAAAAGGCCACCGACATACAGTGGTCGAGAAAGTTTTAAGGCCTTTAGGTTTATGGTTGAATGGTAGAGATACATAGAAGTTCATATAAACAAAAAAAAAGGAAAGGTTTTTTTAGTTTTATGAATGAAAATGGTTTTTGGGTAAAAATTTAGGTTTTATAGGGTTGAAAAAATGGAAGATTGCGTTTAGGTCACCCAATTTTAGTTGTGTTTTTGTAAAATGATCATATATTATGTGGGTTTTTTGTTATTTTAATTCGAATTGTGGTGCTAATTATATCATTTTTCCTTTTCATTTTGTTATTAGTTATAGGGTTATTAAAAAAAGGAAAATCATGTATAGTTCCTTAAACATTATGCGCATATTTGTACGTTGATCGCCGAATTTTTTAATTATTTTAAAATTGATAAACTATTTTATCTGTTTACAATTTGTTCATTGTCTATTAAATTATTTTATTTTTGATTCAAATATGGTGTTCTAGTATGTAATTCTTTTTTTTTATTTATTATTTTATATTCGTTTAAATAAGTCGAATTCATTTTATGACCTTGCGACGACTCATCCCGAAGCATCAATTGCATTATAATGGCTCAGGTAAAATTTTAGTAATTAACCACCAAATGCTAATTTCTAAAATAATTTGAATTAATTCTACGACATCGCGACAACCTATGTCGGGTACGACTCATTATTACGGTATGGGTAAAAATTAAAAAAAAAAATTGGCCGCTAACCTTTTAATTTTTTTGAACTTAAATTTTGCTTTTACATTTGTGTCCTTTAATTTTTCAAGTATTTTAATTTTAGTTATTTAATTTCTTGCATTTACATTTTAGTCCTTTAAATTTTAGTATTTATTTATCTGTATTTCTTTTATTTTATGCTTGATATTTTATTTTCTTCAGTTTAGTCCTTAATTTGACTGCTAGATTTTAGTTTTAATCCTTAAATTTATGTTTCATTTAATTTAGTCGCTGAACTTTTTAATTTAGTTGAATATTCGCTTTGGTCCTCTCTTCTATACTCAAGGTTCCATTTGGATTATTAGACTCAAAAATTTGATAAAAATAACTAGGGTTAATATTAGAGCTTCAACTTAAGTTTAATTTCACTTTACTCCTTTAATTTAGTTGAATATTTGATTTGATCCTCACTTTTATGCCTGAGGTTCAATTTCAATTATTCGATTCAATAATTCATTAAAATTGGTTAGGATTAATAATTAGAGCTTCTATTTTAGATAAATTTCACTCTAGTCCTTTAACTTTAGGTGAATTTTTTATTTAGTCCTCATATTTTTGCCCGAGGTTCCATTTCAATTATTCGATTCCATAATTCGTTAAAATCGGTTAGGATTAATAATTAGAGCCTAAATTTTAGGTTTAGTCCTTTAGGTCCTTTAAAATTCATAATTTGACACTTTAGTTAGAGGGAATCCTTAATTAATTCACTTAGTTTATTTAGGTTCAATAACCATTTGTTTAACTGCATATTCACCACTAATGATTCTCAAAGTAAATCGACATCCTTTTCAAAACCCCACATAATTATTTTAAAATTATTAAGGCAATGTTTATTTATTGGGATTAATAACAAATCTTTTGTTTGTGCTCGGGTAGTCGTTATTGGTCCTTATAAACAGACATCCTTTTTAAATTTCCGTACATAATGGATTTTAAATTAAATAAAATTTTGAATTCAAAATTTATAATTTTAAATATACAAGGTAATTGATTAGGTACCAATTTTTTGGCGTTGTAGGATGGTAATCATTCTTCATGCGTAATTGACTCTCAAACTCTTTTATTGATTTGGCATACCAAGAACTTGGTATTTTAGTTCTTTTATTAAATTACCCAATTTTAATTGATTCAATCTCACCTTTAAAATGACATCATTTCGTAACTAGTCAGCTTTTCCTCCGACCGGTTGCGACAACTACATTTGTGGTTGGGTGATTGTTCTACATTTCTCTCCATCTTTAATTTGTATGTATTGTTATTATGCTGCTTATGGACTATTCTCTGTCATATTTCATCCTTTGCTCTTGGACAGCAGTTTCTCTAGATATCGTGAGGTTAAAATTTTATACGTTGCTCATTTGATGAGGATTGGAAATCAAATGGAGGGTCCTCGACATAAAAATGGAGGGTTGTGTTGGGTTGGTAGATAATAATACTTTTGAGGTAATAGGCATAGCCTTTCATTTTACTTGCATATGCACTCATTGATTCAGTTACTAGCTAGGTGGCATTAAAAATTATAATTTGCTAGATTCCATGCACATTTTTTATATGAAGTGGCAATAGAGTTCTAGCATGTGATTACAAATTATTTAGCCAGCAAATTTTCCAAGAATCTGTCAATCACTATTGGGAATAAAGTGTTAGCCGTTTCTGTCGTTCAATATATTTTTGCAAATTTGTTACAGCATCTCCTTTGTCTTTTGATAACAACCTCCTTTTTACCTATGTTCTTTTTTTTACTTGGGCATTGTGGAGATTTCAGCCATTACTTGTGATTTTGTTCTTTCCATCATCCTGGATGTGTAACTTTCTGTAATTGGCTTTCGAATCATAATGTATACGTACATATAAACTTATATATAATGTAGAGTACATGCTTCAATTTGCATTTTGTTTGTTTTTCAAAATCTAGTCACCAAGCTCCATTTTTATACAATTAACATTACTTTGTTAAGGACGGGGAGAATTGGAGGAAGATTAGAAGAGAAAGAAGACAACAAATAAAACAAATTGTATAGAACGGGAACAAAAACTCAATCCAGACATTGGATGTTGTTGATGTCTTGATGAGAAATATGTAGTGAGACATGGTTGATTTATTTGCCAGAGAATTAGTGATTTCGCATTGAAGTTTGCTTTATCTATGAGATTCAAATGCCCCAACCAATGCTCTCACCCTGCCCTTGCTTTTGCCATGGGATTCAAATGCCCCGACCAATGCTCTCACGCTGCCCTTCCTCTCTGTAACTAGCTTACTGGTCGTCATCTTCACCACAACACTGTTGGGTGTTGATGGTTTGTTCTTTCCATTGGCTACTTCTGCTTGAACTTGGCTTTTAGTAATCAAATCTGCACCCACTTCAACTTTTTCTTCCTTCCCGTTTGCTGATTCTGCTTGTTCTTGACTTTCAGGGACCATATTTGCTTCCTCTTCAACTGTTTCTTGCTTCCCTTGTGCTTCTTCTGCTTGTACAACTCTTTTAGGATCCATATTTGTTTCCTCTTCAACTGTTTCCTGCTTCCCCTCTTCTGGTTCTGCTTGTACACGACTTTCAGGAGCCATATTTGTTTCCTCTTCAACTATTTCCTGTTTCCCCTCCGCTACTTCTGCTTGTACTTGACTTTCAGGAACGACATTTGCTTCCTGTTCAACTGTTTCCTTTTCCCCATCCTCTGTTTCGGCTTCTACTTGGCTTTGAGAAACCACATTGGCTTCCTCTTCAACTGATTCAATCCCTTGCTCTTTTGCTTCATCATTGTTTTCTTCGCTTTCTTTTGTAGCAGCCAGTTCAGTTTTATTACCTTCTACTTTTTTGTCTTCAGTTTTTGTTTTAGTCTCCTCGTGTGTAACGTTGATCTCCTCTTTGTTGTCATTGTCCTTGGCTTCCTGGTCGGAGTTTGAGCCATCATGTTCTTGTTCATGAGCCATATCTTCCATTTCTTCAGTTTGAGACACTTTATGTTGTTGCTCTTGGTAGTGCGTAACAGAGGAAACATTATCAAGGGTATCTTTTTCTTTTTCCTCTTCAACATGAGCATGTTGTTGAGTTTTTTCTTTGGCTTTTGGTATTTTTATATCATGTATATCACTCTTCTCATCTTTCACAACCTCCCCAACTTGATGATCCAAATTTTCTTTGTTTCCATTCGTGGCTTCAAGATTTTTGGCTTGTTTTATACCACGAGTACGTGGGGTTTGTTTGAAGCTGAGGAAGTAGTTGTTCCCCTCTTAACTGTTAGGGTGAGGGGAAGGGGGCGCCTTCATGCTCCTAGCTGTCATTGTCATCATGGTAGTAGTCGTCATCCTAGTCCTAGACGAAGAAGATGAGGTGGGTGGCTTGGCTGCAATTGGTGGCTTGGTTGGCTTGAGTGAACTAGTGGGTTTTGAGGATAAAGAAGCAGACCTGGGGGTCGTTGCTGGTTTTTGTGGAGTAGGGGAAACAAGTGACTTTTTTTGGATCGGATCTGCCGATACAGGCCTGATAATCGATCTTCTTAACAGTTTTGTTGACATTCTTGATAGCAGCATCACTCTTGGTAGACTTGTTTGCTAGATTGGAACCCATAGAATGTCTTCTTATCCCTTGCCCATGGGTAATGGAAGCATTTGGTTTTGAAAGGCAAGTGGGCTTCTTGTCTTTCCCCAAACTGCTGTCTCTTGTTCTGTTTGCCAATGCTATTAGTCGCAGGTTGTCTCTGCCCCTCCCCTGATCCATTCTCAGATTGGTCGTCCAGTCCTGCATCATTGTCAAAATTTTACGTTGTTACCATTACCAAGAAAAGAAAAGAAAAAGGTGAAATGAGGAAGTAAATTAACCTTGATGATGTGGGGACAGAGGGGAGGGGAGATGAGGAAGGATAAGCAGCAGCAGAAAAAAGAGACTTCTTCATTGTGATTGGAAAAATATATCACCACAACTCGTGGCTGTCTGCACGTACATGTTACATATGGAACAAGATGAGACCATCTTTGAATATGTATTAGTTAGCTTTGTGTAGATCAACCGAGATATATGGGGACTGCCTTCTTGACCTTTTCAACCCCATAGCAAACAATACCAAAATAGCTTCTTTGGTACCAAATGAATGGGTTATGAATTCCAGTGTTGGATTGGAATGAGAATATATCCCATCCACTCGGGGTCGGAATACAAACATCTAACCCCTCTCCATCCTCAGTCAAATTCCTACAGCACCCGTCCATTGTTTTCTTTCCTTTCCAATCATATTGGAATTGAGATGTAACATGTTTGCACAAAACCCTACTTTATTAATGGAAAAGTTACTAATCATTGATGTATAATTTCTTTCTTTCTTTCTTTATTTTTATTAATATAGGTTCTTTTACATCAGACTGTTAGGTAAAAGTAGAGGGGCTTAAGCCAAGCAAGTGTTCCCTATCGAGCAACGTATATCTATGGACACATGTGCCAAATATACCTCATGTCATAAGGTTACATGCATGGTTTAACTTTTCTTAATTTGTAATTAAATTTCTATATGCATTCATGGTTTCTGCTTTCCATGCTTAAAAATAGCAATTTTACCCTTCTTGTACGCTATTTCCTACAAGGGTTTTACTTGATGACATGACACGCCTTATCTCAACATCAAATACCTTATTGTATATTTACTAACCTAACACACTTACTACGTTTAGTGGCTGAAACCAACCTGTAAACGTTGACATGTAAGATATTTCTAATGTTTGAAATCGAGACCTCAAATAATAACAACTTTTTTACAATTAAAATCACTTGGTTCATGCATATCTCTTAAATTTTTAATAACTTTCTAAAAAACCATACACTTAACATAAAATAATAAAATTATGATCCAACTCTGATCTCCTCCTCTCTTATCAATGATATAATTAATGAATGTCCACGAATCATCAAATTGATGCCCTTACCTTCTACTTTATATACATGGTAATGATAAAAGAAGAGAATATGTTTCCAGGTGATTCATGGAAAAGCCATTGTATCTATTTTATAACTCAAAGCTCATCTTATTCATTCTATATAATAATGTAGCTTACAAACCAGAACAACTTTACCTAAACACATTATTATTATTATCATTATTATAATATTAGCTACATTGATCATCGCTAGTGGAATTGAAAGGGACTCGGACCTCTACTTTTTGTCACAATTATCACCTTCGAGGAGTTGTATTTGAATTATAGATTTGTACAGGAATCAATATAATTTTACCACTATATTAACTTTAAACTTAATAATTTTTAAAAGGACTAAACTAAAATTTCGTCATTTTAAGAAGTCAAACTGTAACTTTATCATTATTTAACTTATAGTTTTATTTTTTCTATACCATAAGATCAGTTCGGTTAATTAATAAAAAAAATATTATTAATAATCTATGAGATGAATGTGTTTGAGATCAAATTTGAAAGTCAAAGAATTTCATGAACTAATTCGAGAACTAAAATAAGATTTATAAATGTATAAAAATAATCTATCAGGTCAGTAATCACAATTTTCTTGTTGCTGAATTCTTTTTTCTTAAATAATGTAATCCCGTGGGACACATATATGCTCTTCTCTACTATGGTCTTTGTCTAATACAACGTTAATCATAATATCACTGAAAACATGTAATTAATTGATTTTTTTCAAGGAAAAACCATCTGTCTAACAACACTATTTATACGTTTGAAATTGAACTTTTTGGGTGATCCATTAAGATATGTGGTTCGTCAAGTGTCACTGCCCTGGCTTCCACATTTTAATGATTAACACCGCACTGTCCTCTCTCTATATATTTTGGAATTCGGGGGATGCTACTTTTCTTTTCCATCATCATGCTAATTTATTTGTATACTTTTAGATAATAGTTATTTATATTTACTTCATTAATTAATTTAAATTTAATATTATAAAGATTTAAATGATTATGTGAAACATATTTGTTATTTATAATATTAAAATTTAAACATCATTTGAATAATATGGCGGCTGTTAGGTAGTATCTTACGCAACTCTAAGGGAGAATTGTTATTCGGATTCACGCTTAACCTAGGTCGTTGAGTTGAACTGATAATTTTGACGTTTCGAAAATTTACAACAATTCGTCTGATGTTTTAGTTGAGAACGCCCTGATTTCCAAAGTTCGTGAACTGCATGATCTTGACTGTGATATAAAGATTTATACATATCTGTTGAGAGTAAAATGTTACTGCGAACAAGCTGGCTGCGTTGAGTCGAGACGCCTCAATTGGTGCTATTGTCTTAGTGGAGTCGCTATTGAAATTGTCTTCTACAATGCTCAAGGATATCCAACACTAATTAGTTGTATGTTCACTATTTTATATAGAAAAAAAAATCAAGCATTGTTGAAAAAACAAAATCGTAAATCATCCTAAAAATATCTTTGGCATAAAATTCCATGACATTGAATATTGCATTAATTGGGTAGTGACTAGTGACCTAGTAATTTCTCCTCTACAATAAAGTTGCACGAGAATTACATTTGTTAGTGCAGATTGAACTGGGCATTTCTTCATTAAATTCAAATACTTTCATACCCGAATTAATTAGGATATTCATTCCATCATTTGTTTGTTGACTAGTCGCATTAGCCTACTAATCAACTCAATTCAATCTCTAAAATGTATTATTATGATATTAATTATTGTAACCAAAATTAATTAACGCCTAAAATATGTATAACACCAGTTTAGTTATTTTTAAAACATAAAAGATAATAGGGTAAACTACGCGTTTATTACTTATACTATCGATTTTGTTCCATTTTAATACCAAACCTTTCATTTTTTTCAAAAGCATATCTAATGTGTTTTATTTTAGTGTCCTGCTGTTAAAAACTTAACGGGTGGGCTTATCGGTCCACCATAATAGTTGAATAGGCTAACACCTAGCTCGGTTTCAAACCTAGTCCAGCCTAACTTTGAACCTTAAGGAACCAGCCAACAACTACCACTCTCAATAGCCTCCACTCCAAGTGACAGTGAACAAGGGAGCAGTCATTCTGTTAATCTCTTCTCAAACTACGGTTGTTGTATTCCAACAGTGTTAGACATTTGATGATGAGAGTCCTAAAAATAAATATTAATTGGAGCAAAGGCAAGGGAAAAAATAACAGACGAATGTGGGGTTTTATATTTTCGATGATGGAGGTATCAGTTGGAAGATTCCCACTATAACGCCCCAAATCCATTAACTTGTGAGAGAGTTTGTCCTAAGTTAGGTTTAGATTTAGATTTGGATTTGGTTTGGGCCCAATCGAAACTAAAAAGGACATTATTAATCTTGAAGTAAATGAGGAAGGTATAGGAGGGCAATTACCCCAAAAACTCTTTGAAAGGCTGAATTTGTTTAAATGTTGGTGAGGTTACGTACTAGGCTATTTTTTCTCCATATTTCTCGTCTTCTTCTTTATCACCCAAAACCCTCATTCTCTTCCTTAGTGACTTGAGCAGAGGTGGGAGATTTATTTGTATTTACTTCTAATATGTGTTTGCAAAAGTAAGAATTATAATCTATATCTTTAGAGCTTCGATTCAAGCCCCAAGCACAAATTTTGGTTATGGTAACGAAATACGAGTGTTAGTGAAGGTTTTTGAAACCCATGTATAATCAACATGTGATTAAGAAATTTCAACCTTAGGAAATTTTTTTAATCTCTTTCTAAACTTGCAAACCAATTAGTAAGTCTTGTGCTTCATCCTTGTCTAGTGAGAGAAGTGGATGAAAGCTCCAAAAGCAAGGAAAAGGAAAAAGTAGCACTTGGTTGAGACTTGGACATTTTCAGCAGCTTAGGATTCAAGGTAATACACTTGTAATTCATCTCTACCACATGTAGATCACTAGGTGTGTTTTGTTAGCTTTAAGAGGTATGAAGTATAAAAGCATGTTCATGGTAGATTTCACTATTTGGTGATTTTCAACATATTCATTAACCTATTATGACCCATCTTAACATCCATAAGACTTTAATAACACTTGGGAACCTTAGTGGAGCTTTTAGGAGAACTGAGAAGTCATTTTCATGCCCAACCAGACATTTCTAGGTTTGAGTATCAGTACTAGAAGAACAGTATCAATAATGTTCATCAGATAGCCTAAAATAAGAGGATTTCAGGTTAGGAGTATCGATACTCGTTCATCGAGTATAGATATCATTGGTTAGGTATTGATACTCATAGGAGGAGTATCGATATTGAGTTCACTTTGTAGATTCTAGTAGCCAATTTTGGTATCGGTACCCATGGGAGTATCGAT